ATGATGCGCACTTTGCACCTCTCCCCCGCCTACCGTAGCTTCGCTGTGAATTTCGCTTTGCCGCCAGGCCCGTCAAGCAAAGTTTACAAAGAAGCTTGAACCTCCGACCTCCAGGTTGAGAGCGTGAAACGCAACTACTGAGCCAATCGCACCCATTAACCTTACAGTACTAAATTATGAAAGCCAGTAATTAGAACAATAACGTAATTAAGAGCCAGGTTTCTAAATTTAGATATTATGTAATCAGAGACCAAAGGATCCACTGATTATACGTAAATACAATATGAGTATGGTGGCTCCGAAAAATGACAGACAAGAGGCCATAGTTGATTCAACGTTTCGTTCTTTATTGGAACATGGTCAAGAATGAAAATGTAATCAGATGTTGAACTAGTGGACATACATCAGTGCAAGAATTTTCCCGCAAAGCATCGCGAAAATTATTAAAGGAAATAGAAACGCCCTGTTGAATTACTCATGATGCCTGATGCAAATTATTGGATTACTACAGTCTGATTGGCTAAAGATGCGTACTCGGGAGGTCTGAACACATTTGAAAGTCTTGGTCTGCAAGAAAAAAGAAAAAAAACAAAAACAAAAAGAAAAAAAAAAAAAAAAAAAAAAAAAAAAATACCAAACAAACAAACAAAAAACAAAACCGGATAAGAAGTGTGAATACGTCTTATGTAAGGTCGTCAGGTTTGACAGGTTTAACAGTACTGTATAATTTCGTCTCGAAAAGGCTGGTAAAAACTTTTGATCAGGATACGGATGTTGAAATTCTTTAATCCAGGTACCTATTAACACTCTGTAGCACGATAGTGCTTCCGAATGCGCACCTGATGCACCGGTGTAGGGTCTTGGGTGGTGTGGTGCTATAAAACGGACATGCCAACACCACTGCGGCGCATTCAGAAAGAGTTAGGCACCTAACGTACATCGGCCTGAAAGACAATAGGTAAGTTATCACCGATCAATATTTTGTCAAATCAAAATTTGGCAAATAAATTATGGTTTAATAGGAAATTTTATTTCTATGTTGTAGTAGACTACTATACTAGAAATAGTAGTATTGATGTCAATACAGTAATGTTCTTAATGTAGGCAACGTTGGGCGTAATAAAAATATAACTTTTTTTTTCTTAAATTTATATTTTTTAGTGGCGGCGGGTGCGCTAATTGACGAAATATAAAACTTTATATTTATTCAAAATTACCATATATTGGCGGGCGGCAGGTTCGCTAAACAAGATGTATAAAACGTCTCGTCTTATTGTTTTTATTGCCTTTTGTTTACCAGTGTACGTAATTTATCATTCTACCTTTTATTATTATTTTTTAAATTTTTTTGTCATTTCATGTTTCCTAGTCACGACATTCCAGTGTAACAACTATCACAATAATTCTCTAAGAATGGTTGGTGCTTGTAAGCATATCCAGGCGATGTTCAGCGTCCTTGTTTGTGTTGGAATTATTCTGATGTGTTTGTCGTTTGTTTCAACGTCTCGGCAAATCGATGACAAGCTTGAAGGGTTCCAGGTAGGGATGGTACCTATCTCTGGCCTGTCTCTTATACACATCTAGATGTCTATAAGAGACAGCACTGCCCACCTGGAGGAGAATTAAAGTTGATATAAATATTCTCAAACTCAGATAAGAACACTGAAAAGAATACGTACATTACCATATCTTTAAGAGCAGTTTGGCACCGCCGATACACTACAACTTCTCAACATTAAGGCCAGGGTTCAATCTCTCGCTATGCATTTCGCTTGTGTCCTTAGGCAAGGCAATTTACCTACAGTTCTCCCTCTCCACCCAATAGTAGAAGTGGGTAAAGGTAAAGGTAGGAGAATAACCCATAACTTGCAGCGTCATTGTGCTGAATTGTGTATGGGTGTGGTCCGTGACTACTTAGCTGCCGTAAAGAGGCGCTTTTTGGTAGATACATGTTCACATCATTCCACAATGACAGGGGCTGAAATGAACCATCGGGGTAACCCACTACTCTTCTGAAAGATGCAATGGGTTCTTTGAAGTGCACACGAGCCAGCTATATACACTGCACTGGACCTGCAGTTTGAAGTCCTTATCCGAGAATACTTGGTTCTACCAACCGAATCAGGTGCGAGGAGCAGCTGGAACCAGCGCCGATGTATTTTAATGCTGTAGCTAGCATTATATATATATAATACATTATTATATATATAAAATAATGTCACCTTCAATGCACTGCCTGCGAGCGGTGCATTGATAGAAATTTGCCCGACGTGATCGGGCGTCGCTCAATCTCAAAATCTCTCAGAAGTAATCATGGGGCGTATCCCCCGAAAACTATGACAATTTAGGCGTTCAAAGGATTATTTAAACGATTTCAGAGTCAAATAATAATGTAAATGGAGCCCCCTCAACACTGGCGCCACCCTTGGTATTATAGTCAGTGAGTTAGCGTATTAATTGTGACATGCTTTCTGCTGGATTTTTGCAGAAGCTGGGTCATACATTGCGTAAGAGAAGTTACGGCATCGATAATGGGGATAGCTCAGCGACATCATGTAAGTGAGATTTGATTATTACAAACCTATTATCAATTCACTAAAGCCGGGCACTCCCTGCCGACGGTCGTACGACGGCCCTCAACTCCACTATATGTGAGCGCTAGACGACGCGACGCCGTCTGCTATTTGTCGGTGGCAGTCTGAACGGATCGTATCGTTATTAAAAACGATCTTGGCGTCTTGGCGTTCTACATAAAATCGCGTCGGCCGCAGTGAGTGCCCGTTTTTAAATTCACATTATAATATTAAAATCAGACCAAGAGCAGTGACACATATAGACCTACTACTGAAAAACATCCATTCTGCTGCTTTATAATCAAATTGGTAAATACGCATTATCAGTTTTAAATGCTAGGTCATATATTTGCTTTTTAACACTACAATTTTTAACTATTTTATTGAAAAAATCAATGTATAAATTTTATTTTTCAATGTTTTCTCGAAAGTTTCTTCTTTAGATTTTAGTTGTATTTTTGTTATTGACAAATAAAATTTACCAACTAACCAATCAGGACGTGTTATTCAATAGCTAGCATTACGCACATGTCCCACAAAGAACGTGCGTACGTTTCCATACGTTTACGCTGTTTAATGTCCCACAACTTAGCAACAATACACAAGGGGCGGGCTGTAGAGCCCACAAATGTAAAAATAAACCACAAAGTAAAAGTAACCACAAATGTAAAGACATTGAACCCACAAAATGTCAAAATAACCACAAATGTAAACAATTCACTCACAAGTGTAAAAATATGTTTATTTATATATATAAAACTATATATATAACTATATATGTGTATATATATTATATATACACACATATATATAAGTATATATATATATATACCTATATA